TCAATTGCACAGCAATGTCATGTGGCATTTGACCAGTTTACTTATAGTGCTTGCACACTTTCACTTTGACATCGAGAACCCTCATGGGTGCAGTGCAAAGCTCACTGCTTCAACCAGCTGGTTATCGCGATGCTTTTAACTTTACCTGCGTTTGGATTAAAGGGACACTCCCACCTTAACATTAGTTTTGAGTTGAGATAGCCAAATTGGTGGCCATGGCCTGCAAATACCGGTTTGGGCACTCACAACATCGATAAATGCTTTAATTCGGAGATATGGAATTTCAAACTTGCATTTTTCGGATTCTAAGGGGCTAGTGCATTGGTATGCCCCCTTAGAATTTGTGACGTCAGCGGAGATCTAACGATTTTTAAATCTTTTACTAAAACGTTTGGTAGCACGCGGTGGTATATGCTGCTTTGCGCGCAACAAATGCCGCACTTTCAAATAAAGTCGCTAGGAACAGCGGAGATCCCAAAAAGTAAACAAAAGTAAAAGTCTAATATCTTGAAAACCGGTGAATATTTTTCGATGAAATTTGGTAGATATTCGTTTTCGCTCTTTCTGAACCGAGCGACATCACTTTCGTGCCAATTCATTAACTTTTTTGAAGGTGGGAGGGTCCCTTTAATTGATTCACCGCTTGCTCATGCAGCACGGTATACCGCTCTGTGTCGCCGAAGCTCTAACATACCTCCCCATCTGTCCCGTTCGGTCTCAGAGTTCTGGGAGGTCAGCTCGGCACGGGCCGCCCCGGCTGCTCCGGCCGTCCCGCAGCCGGTCGACCCCAACTCGATCGAGCTGAAGGTGCAGAGCGCCGAGCGGCGCGGCGCCGTCACGGTGCGGCTGGGCAGAACCGAGCCCATGTCGGTACTGATGGAGCGCTACGCCCGGCAGAAGGGCGCCGAGCTGGCCAAACTCAGGTGGGTGTACACTGTACAGTGTACACTGCGGAGTGCTGGCCGGAGAACGGGGTGCGGTGGGGGGGGGGGGGAGGGGGCGGTTAGGGGGCGCTGCTGCTGTGGAGAGATTTGTTGTTGCGCGACAGGATGTTGCCGGTCTATTTCTATTGCCTAGCGGCGGTATCTGCTGTTGGGATTGATTGACTTGTGCTTCCGATTGCTTTAGCTGCCGCGTTATGAACCATTTAATGATGTTGAACGAAGTGATTCGCAACGATAGAAACGCGCAGTGAAAGATCTTACTCAAGACGTATGAAAGTCACGGGATGGCCGCTGTGTGTTTCAGGTTCCGGTTCGATGGCGAGGCTCTGGACCCGAGCGACACTCCAGAGACATTGGATCTGGAGGGCGGCGAGTGCGTGGACGTGCACTCCTGCTGACCTCTGCGACCTCTACACGGGCTCTGATCTGACCTCTGCCGTGGCTGCCGCTCTGTGACCTCTATACTGGCTCTAATCGGACCTCGGTGCGGCCGCTGACCGGAGGCCACGTGCTCGATATGGCCCGGTGTGATTGTGGTAGCCTCGTAGTGTTGAGCCTCTCTTGAAATTATCGCTACTCGATAGTATCGCTATCGCTACGTGGTTTGAAAGCGCTTGGTTTTTAAAGGTTGGCCGCCTGGTGGGCCCGTACCGCTTTCACCGCTACGCGGGCCGGCCGGGCGGCCAACCCTTTAAGGAAATAGTTCACTTTTAACAATGGCTTTTAAACTGGAATAATAGTTTTGTAGCTTGAGCTGAGACTAGCACAAATCAGAAGCTTTTACGGCCCAACGATCGCCCTAGACGAAGATCTTCCATTTCTCGTTCCGAAAAGAGGACCTTGCAGAGGAATGTGTGCCTTGCTGAGGAATGCAGCCACGTCATCGTCAGCCAATCAGCATGCTGCTTGCAGCCAATGGGTTTGCACTACGCGGTATGATTGGTCAACGCGTAATAAGCTTTCACGTTAAGCAATATTTTATATAGAATACACTGTTCTTCCTATGTTAAAATATAGAAAATCATCTACTTCATTAAAAGGTTTTATTTTATTTTCTGATCATTTTGAGCATAAAAATCATAAATCTATTGCAAAAACTAATTTCGGGAGAGTGAACTATTCCCTTTGAGTCAGGAGCACTCAAATCAGGGAGCGATAGCGATACTTCCAGGAAAGACTCTTGTTGGACAATTGTAGAGATGCCCGAGCGATACTTGTTTGACACTCTGAACCATGCTGAAGGTGCATACAATTGGGAGGCAGCTGGTTGCCGCTACTGACTGCAGAACACTGCGTAAAAAAAAACTGCCGATAAAAGTAATCCATGTCAGTCTTGTGGTGCTTCCTCGCAGATATAAGTACCTGATTCTCGCGTCATTTGGTCTCAATGTGCAGCGTTGATTGCTCAGTGTCCGTCAGTATCATACGATACTGAGATTGTGCGCCTATTCTGAGTGTATTTATTTATGCCGTGTAGGTATCGTCCCCTGACAGGCAGGGCCTCAGACCACTAGCTGCGGAGGCCGGTGTAGTGTGCTGCGCCAATTTCAGACCACCGTCGGAGATCTGCTATGTCGAGTATGTGTGTGCCTGCTGGCTGCTGATGAGTGTGTGTGCGTCAGTAGCTGGTGGTTTGCGATCGGGTCTCGTTTTGTGCTGGCTGTGAGGCCAGGTAATACGGATCGTGTCCGTCTGCATGTCAGAAATGTGTATAACTGTCTGCTCTTTTTGTAATGCCTTGTTGGATTAAATTGCCGCAATATATTATTTTCGGATGATCGTTTTTTTTTTTTTTGCACATTAGCTTGGCGTCAGTATTTCTGCAGTGCACTGTACATAAGTGAAACATCACATTCCTGGGCAAATGATCAGACAGTGCCCGAACTGACCGAGCCAGCGCTTTGCAACGGCAACGTTTTTCGAGGGGCCCCACAGACAGAAGGCTGTTGCTTCCGTTTGGTTTGCGATGCGTACAGGGTAACAAAATGCTTCTTGGGAAATGCAAAATACGCAGTCCTCTCAATTTTACTGGAAATAATGCGTAGAGAAGTTTCCAATCAAATGTGAAATGTGAAAGCGTTACTGCACAGTAAACACGTATAGGTTATAATCAATTGCAAAAGTCAGTAGGGCTGTAAAATTATGTGAAGCTATACCTACATATGCCGCACCGCTGTACATGCTGTTGTTATTTGGCCGCTACATGGCTTAACCCTATTCCTGGCGGGGGGGGGCCTCAGGAGCCCCCCCCTGAGGTTTTTTGGTTATATCTCCCAAACGCGTTGAGCTAGGAAGCTCAAATTTTCTGACTTTTCCTAAAAGGCTTCTACGCAACATGTCTGAAAATTTTGAGTTGATCTGACCTCAGGTCAGGTCACCAGAGGCGGTTTGGTGACGCTACCTCAGAAAAGTTTGCAATCACGCCAGAGCTAGAGTTTTTGACCGATCAATTTCTTCTCTTCAGGGTTTAGTTAGGGTACCAGTATGTGCAATTTGTATATCTCGGAATTTTGATATCGGTGACCTAAGGTCAGGTCAATTTCGCGACCTCCCCATTATAAGTCAATGGGGGAAAAATCAACTCCCTGTTTTTACCACTAAAACGGGTCGGAATGGCCCCATATACCATACATGACTTCATATACGATCAACCTTCACTACCTTGAGGTCTGTTTTGCTGTTGGGCAGCTGTGAGGTCATGTGACGTCATCAAAGGTCACCAAAGGTTTTTGGCCAATAACTCCGTACAGGAACAAGATACAGACGCGTGGATGGTCTCATTGTGTTCAGCTCGTCAAGACGCATCGAATGATATACATGATGACCTCGAGGTCACGTGACCTGAGGTCAACCTTTGACCTTGACCTTTCGAGGTCAACATATATATCATTCGATGCGGATTGACGAGAGGATCACGATGATGCCCTTAGTTTGTTCCTATCTTGACTAATTCGAAAGTTATTTGAGAAAAACGCTCTCCATATCTAGTGCCGCCATTTTGACTTTTTCGACCCCTGTGACGTCATCTTTGAACTGACCTGAAAATGACCTTAGTAAAAATTGTAGATCTTGGCCGTGCGTATCCGATGCCGTTTACCGCTTGTCGCTATCTTGCTTCGTTCTCGAGATCTCAGGGGGGGCCGAATCGGCCCCCCCCCCCGCCAGTTTCTTGTCCCGGCGGAGCCCGCCAGGAATAGGGTTAATGCAAGGACGCCTGAATATAGGCTGTGCCGCTGTACAATATCCTCTAAATCCGATAACGGATGACGCTAGTAGTGGACGCCTGAAGTTATGCTGCGCCGCAATACGTGATGTGCTACACGGCCGCTAGATGACTGGTGTAGTGCGCCTAAGCCTTGGCTGTGCCGCCGTGCAATATCTTCTGACGCCGATAATAGATGACGCTAGTAGAGAGCGCCTGAGGTTATGCTGCGCCGCATTACATAGTGTTTTGCTGAACGGCCGCTAGATGTCACTAGAATATTGCGCCTGAACATAGGCTGTGCCGCCGTACAATATCTTCTAGATCCGACGGTAGATGGCGCTAGTGGTGGGCGCCTGTAGCTATGCTGCACCGCATTGCATGATGTGAGATGCTTCGTTTACCTAGAAATATAGCTGCATCTAATCTTAGTACCTACGCTGTTTTGTTTCCGTTGTATTTTGCGTCAGCATTCATGCGGACAGCGGAATGGAGTCATATCCTTTGCACTACATCACAGTTAGGTATTCACTGCAAAACAGTAAGGTAGGCATGTTGGTAGACATTCTCAAAAACCTATCTAATGGGGTTTGTTGCCTACAAACAGTGTCAAAAAAGAAAGCAAATGTAAAAAGCTATTCAGTTTTAGTGTTTGTGTGGAAAAATACATTTTTAAGCCGTGGTGAATTCCCTGGACTCCGTTGCAGCCAGTGCGGTACTGCGCCGTTGGCCGCCGTCGGCTCGTTGTCCGATCGACCGGAGCCGTCAGCGGCGGTCCGGCCGGTCTGCAGTGACCCGCGCCTGTGTGTCTGTGTGCAGCCCGTGTTTGTACGACCCGTCCCGGTCCGGTGGCCCGAGGTCCGGACGAGAATCAATGGCTCTATGGATACGCATAAACAGCGGCCGGAGCGCCGCCGCCGCCGGCCGGACGCGGCCTCAGTCAGCCGTCGGGCCCAGTGCAGCCGCCGGCCCGAGTGACCTGGCTCAGGTCAAGTCAGGTCAGGTTTCACGGTAGCCGGGCAGCGACCAAAGGTCAGTGGCAGCTCCAGTCAAGTGTGTTTGCGTTTCGTTGGTGGAGTCTGGCGTGGGACGTTCAACGTGTGGTTTGTGCATTTTTCTTACAGCATCCGAGCCGTGCAATTTCCTCGTAGTGATTGGCAGATAAATGTGGGTATAGGGGCACAATAAGTTCGGTTCCTTTGAAAGATAGACTATTTTAGAACTGCATTATAGGTACGATAGTCGGGGTAATACAGTACATAAGCCCCTTATGGCTTATGAATAATATCTCGCACGGCTATATCTTGTCCGGATACGGCTACCAATTGCAGCATTGGATAATGTGGCTCTCAGAGTTGAAAACTTCGCTATAAAACTTACGTATATTTGAAATTGTAACTGACTTGAAATTAGTTCCGTGAAATTGTGCAACGTTTACTTAAAATCGACGTTTTAGCTCAACCAAAATACAGTATGTGTTCACCGTTTTGAAGAAAATGCAATGCATATGAGCAAAGAACCGAAGGGAACTGATAAACTGACGTTCAGGAAAGATATAATCCGTAACTTACGTAACGATATCACGTAGTTAGAGAAGTAAGCAGAGCCAAGTTTCTAGTACTTTGTTGAGCTATAAAAGCATGCCATGTCCGGACAAATCCAGATCGGCACGTTTGGCGAGATCAGCCGAGCAGTCATCTGTACGTGGTTGGTGTCTGTGCTCCGCTGCGGCCACCGGGGGCCCAGCGGACAACCGAGCGCCCCTTATAGTTAGAGGGTGGTGGAACAATCACTCAGACCACGATCTGCTTCAGTGCAGTTGGCAGTTGTCTCACTGTAATGTGTCTGGATTTAAGATGCCTAATTATCTGGCTTCTGTGTAAAGCAAGAATGTTTCCTTCATCATACTTCATGTCTTTGGGTAGCCCTATTAGTGGCAGGGGGTTGTTTTCATCCACCCCTCAGGCTTTTTGGGAATATCTTCAAAACTGCTGGAGCTAGGATGCTTAAATTTTCTGACTTTTCTTAAAACTAAACTGGGAAAATTCCGTGACAAATTTCAAGTTGATGCCTTTATCAGGGGCGGTTCCAGGGCATGGGGGATTGGGAGGTCCTATTCGTGAAGCGAGTCATTTGGGTGAAGATCACGATGCTGATGCATTACAATATGTAATTATTCATTCTGTAAGCATATCAACATTATTTGTAAGCTCACAAGTGAACAAGGGATGGATCATAGGCGGGTCCAGGAAAAAAGGAAGGTCGATTTGACCTCCCAACTTCGGTGCCCTAACCCTCGCCGGCACAGGCTATTTTGGTCCTAGGTTATCGGGTGACCTTCCAGGTCAGGTCAATGACCCGAAAATCGGGAAAATCGGGACCTGTTAGAAAGTCGTAAAGTGTGGCTGCGCTGGAGTTTTCCGGGGTGCTGATCACGAATATCGTGTTAGTTTTGATCAGAGATGATGTCTTAAAGCATTTAGACCAGGTCGGATCAGGTCAGGTCAGGTTAACCGATAGGGGTCGTGACGGGTATTCGTAGTACCTGCCATCCGCCTCTGACAGCTTCGTAACATGTTACGAAGGCACCAAAACTACTTCGTAAATGTTCAAATGGTTGCTTAATTCGAATTCAGCTCCAAAAACTAGGCTAGAAACATGTAAAACTCGAAAAAGTGAACCGAGGTCAACAAAGGTCAATGACCTGACCTGACCTTCAAGTGACCTTGACACCCATCCTAATGCATGGGAGCAGCATCAAATCACATGCTTGAACGTTTGAAACCACGAAAATCTTGCAAACGCGCGGCTAATGCGAGCCGACATACGCCGAATCGCGATTCCGGCCAAACATGGTCTCAGAAAAGAGGTCACAGGTCAAAGGTCATTTGGGTCAGGGTCATGAAATTTGGTATGTGTAAAATTGATCAATGCGAAGTTACTGAAAGTTTCGTCGCGATCGGTCGTTTTCTACCTGAGTTATTCGCGAAAAACCTTAGGAGGGGTTGCATCACCCCCCCCCCCCTGTGCCGACGAGGGTTAAGAAATAGCAAGAAAAGTTCCCAAATTTCGAGCCCTTAGCTTAAGTGGTTTTCCGTCCAGACCAATAAACTACAGGTGGGGGCCGATTCGGCCCCTTCCCCCCCCCCCCCCCCCACCAGTAATAGGGTTAAAGGTGACAGCTTGGTGGGCACGCTAATTTAACAGACTTTATTAGCTCTGGAACCAATTTTCATCACCTTCCAGTTTCATATTTTCATCTCTGCTATTTTTCCAATGCGGTATTTGTACACAGCGCCCACATTGGCTGCGGAGTGATCTACATTCCCGCGCTGGTCGTGTATGGTCGCGTGATGGGTCAGTCTCGCCCAGTGATGCGAGCTATGCCGTTTGCAGGTACACCTGAGTCTGGTCAGAAGACGCCATCATGACCGAAGAAAATGTCAAGGTCGCCGTCAGGATTCGACCATTCATATCCTTTTCATGCAGCTATTGGAAGTGGTTTTCGAAATGCACGATAGGCAATGGTATCATTATCCCGCGCCCCGTTGAGGTCTGGCAGGTTCCACGTCCTGTTGATGGCCGTGAAGTTAGCGTCAGCAACAGCAGCGAATACCGCGTCGGATTCAGAATCGCTTCAAAAACCCTAACCAGGTCAATTAGGGGACGGAAGCACGAATGTGACATTAATTTTGCCCTAGCTCCCCTCCTTCATCCCTTAATCGTCCCTTGAAGGATGGAGCGCGTCCAAAGTGCCTCAAGGCTTCGTCTGATCACCAAAATAGGGTAGCCTGGGGCAAGACGCCCCAGATAATTTATTTTGCTACATAAATTTTGTCCCACATCACCTGGGAGGCCAAATTTGTGCTCAATGCGTTCTTTGGACATTTTACTTTAAATTGCACCCCTCAAATTCATTCACTTATGATCGGACTCCAAGCTAGGAAGAGATTTGTGAAGCAACTGCAAATGGGGCATTTTGCCCCAACCCCAGGGCAAAACGCCCCACGGCCTGGGGCAAGTAGCCCCATACTTAAGATTAAAGATTCAACATGGTAGTTGGCTAAATCTTATGTGAGAGGTCCGTTAGACCTCTGGAGGCACGGCACTGAAGTTAGCACATTCCATCCTGTCAGGTGTTCAGCTGTGACACTATTGTATGAGCAGGTTTTTCACCTACCTCATAAGACCAAATAATAAATTATTGCAATGCAAATGTTAACAAAATACTTCCTTTGCCATCCAGTTGCTGAGAAAAATACACATAAAGGCATAGAAAGTTACTGTTCGCCAGCTACCGAACATTAGAAAGTGGGTAGCCCGAACAACACATGAGGTAAAACGCCCCAGGGGCTTTTTGCCCCGCGACCTACTGGGGCGTTTTACCCCATCACGTAGTTCGGTCAGAGAACAACGCCTTGCATTCCAGCAAGACATAATTTAACACGAACCAACCCGGCATGATAAGCGTTAGACAATAGTTGTTCAAAATACATAAGTCGTTAACCTGATGTGGACCATAAAACGGAACGCCATGATACATAATCTGATGACAAAACATAAAAATCACTCAGAAAACACATTTTTGGCTATATCTCCCGAAAGAGTCGTCACAATTTCTTTCCAGTCTGCTCATATAATGATCATATAGTGCAAGTTTTATAGAAGAGATGATGTTTCCCCAGAACTCTGCCAGTTCCGAGAAACATCGGTGAGGCGTTTTACCTCGGCGGGGCGACTTGCCCCGGTCTACCCTAATGGTCGCAATCGATTCCTCGGGTCAATATCTAACCTCAGTCGAAGTTGCAGACCTGTGCCTCCTATCCCTCATCCTTTAATCGTCCCTTAATGAATGCCACCATCAAGTACCATCTGTCGTTGTAGGCACGGACCCTAGAAATCCCCGCCCTCAGGAACCCGGATACCAGGCCAACAATGCAATGCTCTACATTTCCACCCGCGTGTATAGTGACTCAGGGCATCCATGACGTCATGCTCGCCACAGTGCCAGCCGCTGTTGATGACGTCACAGGCCGGTCCAAGGTGGCCATATTGACCGCTGCCGCGGTGACGGTGTCGCTCGCCGGCCTATCGCGTGACCGGAGGATCCGCCGGCGTGGCCGACCGCGGGCCGCCGCCGTCCGGCCGCCGACGGTCAGCAACATTGAGCGCGCACAGTGCACACAGCGGCCGACGCCGGCCGGTAATGAGAGCGCAAGGTCATTAACGAATGGTCGGCGGGCGGCGGCCAGAGGGGTTATTAGAGGAGTACAATGGAAACTATTTGAGAAATAGTGTTGATTAGAAATGGACAGTTACAACTGAGCAATTCATATAAGTGTATTAGCCTAGCCTATATTAGCCTATGCCTCAGGCTGGAGATAGGATTTAAACGTCTCCCTAAAAGGATATTTTGCACCTTTGTCCTAAGACAGCCTGGAAAATTGTCATATTAACCAATATCTTTAGTTTGTTCCCGCCAAAATAGCGCTTTAGAGTAGATATGCCTGTATGTGGTGTACTCGTCGTTCACCCAGTACTGCCTCGCTCGGCTATGCTCCTTGACTGAGGCACACAACAGTCGCGAGAAGGGCCGCAGCGCCCAGCTGATTCTCGACACCAACGGGAACACGACGTTCATCCGCGACCCGGCGCCCGGCGGCGAGACCAAGTCGTTCACCTTCGACCACTCCTACTGGAGCTTCGACGGCTGCAAGGAGAACAACGGCTACTTCGAGCCCGACAAGAGCCACAAAAATGGCGGCAAGTTCGCTGACCAGGTCAGTGCAGCTGCATGGGAGATGGGTGTGTTTATGGGGCGGGGGGCGGATATCAGGAACGCATGTAAGCAGAGTGCCCCGCACTGTTGTAAGCCTCTCGATGGGTTGATTCTATTGCTACACTTTTTCTAGTCACTTCTGAGTGCTCTCTCGTCATTTCTTCCGTCAGAATATGGTCTTCAACGACTTGGGTCAGGGTATTCTCAAGAACGCCTGGAGTGGCTACAACGCCACTCTGTTCGCCTACGGCCAGACGGGCTCGGGCAAGTCCTACTCCGTGATCGGCTACGGCCCCAACAAAGGTACCTACCTGGCTCGGCCACTCGCGTGGCAGACCGTCAGCGCTCCGGAGGCACTTGTCGCGGCCTTTGCCACTACCGAGGCGAGCTAAACTGTTGTTCAGATCGGAGAGAATCCTTTAATACCTATATTAAGATTACAGTGTTTTGATAGCATTTGAAATTAAGCTGAAAACGCGCCCAGCTCCAAAGCACTCAACTTTGGGAATGTTTTTCGATTACGGCACCGAAATATGGAGAAACAAAGCGCTAGGTACCTATAGGTTATCGTCTTTTAACGGGCACCGTCGAGAATATCACGCAAACGTAGTTTTTTTTCACTTCCATTTTGAATGTAAACGGACTCCTGTGCACTCGGGCTTGATTTGTTTGTGTCCTCAGGAATCGTCCCAAAGTTTTGTGAGGAAATCTTCAAAGGTATCAAGGAGAAGGCCAAGCAACCCATTGTGTTCGAGGTTAAGTTCAGCATGCTGGAGATCTACAGCGAAGTGGTACACGACCTACTGAACCCGGCGAAGAACAAAAAGTCCGGCCTGAAGGTCCGACAACACCCCAAGAAAGGATTCTACGGTAAGCGTGAAAACAGATTCACGTAAAAAATATCCCATGGTGTTTGATAAGTCATCACGTTCAGCGACCCACATTCTAACTAAGCTAGGGACCAACTTACTATGTCAGTTACAACAGGGGGAGCATCTGTCTGGTGGCTTTCCCAATTGGGCCTAGTCCTTCCTTCCCACCGTGCTAAAACTTTGACTTCACCCTCCCCCGTCTTCCAGCCGAGGGTCTGAAGCAGGTAATGGTGACCTCGTACGCCGACATTGAGGCGCAGATGGACGAGGGCACGATGAACCGGACGGTGGCCTCGACCAACATGAACGCCACCTCCTCGCGCGCGCACACTATCGTCGGCATCCATTTCACGCAGAAACAGAAGAATGCCGCCGGACAGGAGACGGCCAAAACGTCCATCGTCAACCTGGTCGACCTGGCCGGCAGGTCGGTGAAAACATGAGCGGCAGCCCGCTGAGCGCCCAGCCGGCTGGCAGGCTTTGTGCAGGAAGGGCGGGTCCTGATTGTGAACCGATGGAAATTTGTCGTTATCGTAAACGGCTGGGCTTAAAAATGTGGTCAAACGACCAAACCTTCAGGACCAATTAAATAAATGCAGCTGAATGATAAAACACGTTAAGCTGTGTAAGGAATAGGTTGAAGTGATATTAATTATGTCGCCACGGGTTCTGTGTGTCCGCTGTCGCAGCGAGAGGGCAGACAGCACCGGCGCCACCGGAGATAGGCTGAAGGAGGGAGCCGCCATCAACAAATCGCTCTCCACACTCGGAAACGTCATCTTCGCTCTCGCCAAACAGTCCAGCGGTGAGAAGGTGAGGAAACTAGTCTATTTAGTCTTTACACGCGGTCCAGCGGTGAGGAGGTGAGTCGGTTAGCCTCAATACTCCAGCAATAGAACTGTCAACTGTCAGCATAAATCTGTAAATCACTTCTGGTTACAAATGGCTATCAAAGAGACTATCAGTAAACCTAAGAGATCATGGACATTACCGCTGGCACATTGCATTATTGTATGAATAAGGATTATTTTACCTGTTCAATGTTACTCTTTCGCTCTGGTTTACCGCGGCAGATAGTTGTGATTTCTAGGGACTGACCCTGCTGACCTCGCACCCCGGTCGCGTCCTCCGCAGGACGTGCGTGTGCCGTTCCGGGACTCCGTGCTCACCCGGCTGCTGCAGAACGCCCTGATGGGCAACTCCAAGACGGTGATGGTGGCTGCCCTGTCACCGGCCGACCTCAACTATGATGAGACCATGTCCACGCTCCGCTTCGGTAAGTCTCACGGCTGTTTGTTAGGCCATCCATTCATAGCACCAAGTCCTAAAGTCGTGGTTTTCGCTGCTCGTCATATCAACACTCTGCTTTTTAAACATATGACGACATTCTCCGGTCGAAAATAGATTTTTTGCCGTAAGCCGGCAATGCTTGGACCCTACACGATTTCAAAAACATAAATATTAAGTAAGCCAAAATAATGTGCTCAAGCCTCAATTAACCCTCATGATATAAGAAATTACGTATGCTTCAAATCTAGCAACAATTTTGTGAACATGAAAAACAGGCTCACACTAATTACTGCAATTACTCACATGCATGCTTTTCGGCGGTTAAAACCGAAAAGCGACGATGCATGGCAGATTGTGGCAGCCGAGTATTAGGCCTCGCCGTCATCGTATGAAAATATCGGTGGTGAAATTACTCTAATATCGATCGCCGGGCAGTGAGTTGTGCAGAAGAAGGCTGGAGTGGCTGTAACTAGCGCACCCAGCTCGCGGTATGTATGTACGGTACGCGAAACGGACGGTGGAAATGTGTCATACAATCCACATGAAATATTCACCACGAATGTCAAGGTGACTCGGGAACAGCCCTACCGCGTGTGACGGATCCACCGCAAATCCTCGTACTTTTGTCAACGGGGACACCTCAGAAGGGACGCCGAGAGCGCGATCTGGAAACTTGAAATCCCAGTTCGCCATAGCAAAGTCGCTTGAAATAGCCGTAGCAGTGTCTGACGTTGTGTTCTAAGTAGGCAAAAAAGCATTATGCGTTTTATGGAATTATTTGTTCTACTGGAAAGCATAACTAACGGTCATAACATAACCTGCGACGTTAGCTCAGCAACAGTTTCATTATCATACCGCTATCTATGCTCCTACCGACATCTGACTGCCCTTTTCTGTGCCCTTCCCCTCCCTTTCTTCTCGCAGCCGACCGGGCCAAGCAGATCAAGACCAAGGCGACGGTGAACGAAGACCCGACTGAGAAGCTGCTCCGCGAGCTGAAGGAGGAGAATGAGCGGCTCAAGGCCAGCATGAAGGGTGGCAAGATCGACATGGGTAACACGGCCGGCATGTCGGCGGCCGGTGAGTGCCGGCCGCGCTCTCAAACCGAAAATTACTGTATTAGACGGTTAGACACTCTCGCCGGTCCACTTTAACATACCTATGAAGTTATGAACAGATATATCGGCGCAGCAGAGCTCCTGAAAATGTTTTTTTTTTTGTTGAGTGTTGGTGATATGTGCTTGCACTGTGATAGAGCCAGTGACCGTAGGTATTTTGTGACGCTCAATAAGGATTGATTGAGTGATTGATTGATTGATTGATTGATTTACTTCTCAGACAAGGAGGCGCTGCGGAAGGAGCTGGAGGAGGAGATGCGCGCCCAGATGCTGGAGAACGACCGGGAGCTCGAGGACATGAAGAAGTCCTACGAGGAGAAGCTGAAGGCGGCCCACAAGTCCTCGGCCACGGCGGCGGTACGTCCCCGCCCCGGGACGGGCTCAGAGCTTGTCCAGACACGGCATTGTGGATATCGTATCACTCGTGACTCGGACATTTGTGCCTGACATGTTACGAAGCTATTTACACCAGTAAAACGCCTTTTAGGCGAAGAACGAGCGAGCGAGATAGTTTTTTTATAGAAATTTTGTCCGAATGGATGAATGGGTGGCTATGGGCCCAGGTGCCCCGCTAAGCAGTGCTTGTTGCGAATGGCACCACGGACCCACCTTTCGACATTTGACCTGACCTGTGACGTCATCGGTTAGACCGAGGTCAATGAAATTGGGTCACAAGGTAGTTCCTCGTTGGGGCTATCCAACGCCGTTTGCCGCTTGTCGCTATGTTGCGTGGTTCTCGAGATCTTAGGGGGGCCAAAATGCCCCCCATCAGACCGCGTTGCTCGGCAGACCCCATCAGGGTGCGGGATCATGATATAGTTATTAGTTATCATCCATGTCATTTATCATATGGTGTTAAGTGCATGCACTTAAATCGGGGCAATAATGCATATATTTAGTCGTGGCAGTAATATAATCACATAACTACAATTGGAACAATAGACGTAAGGATTTCTTTGATGGGAGCCAGACTGCCGTCCTCCGGCCTCCTGGCCGCTCCACTGCTCCTCTGGCATCCTGGCCGTCCGTCTCCGCTGCCACTGAATAACCTCTGACCTCTCCATCTCTGTTCCGTCCCCAGGGCGGCGCCGCCGCGGCAACCAACCGCGAGAAGGAGACCAAGCCGCACATCTACAACCTCAACATGGACCCCATGCTCTCCGGCCGCATCGTCAACATCCTGAAGAAGAAGCAGACCGAGGTCGGCAATAGGAAGGGCGGCGAGAGCGACATCACCATGGTCGGACCCGGGTGAGTGTACTTACCGAGACGGCTGAGACGGCTTACCGGAGCGACATCACCATGGTCGGACCCGGGTGAGTGTACTTACCGAGACGGCCGAGGCGGCTTACCGGACAACTATCCTGCTCCATTGCAGCACACTTACCCACAGGCCCACTTCTACTCCGATCAATCACGTGTAACGACTGAAGAGGGTGGCCAAGTGCAACACGACCTGTTTTGCTATAAGTCTGTGTGCGCTGGGCACAATAAAAACATCCTCTTGTTTTACTGGCCAATGCCTTCAACAAATTGCAGAAGGTTTTAATGCTCCTCAACAAGTCGATTTTAGATGTTAACCGAGTATAAGCATCTATCAAGAATGCACAGGTCCGTGATCGAACCAGCTCTGCGTCTCTCCAAACATTTATGTTGACGTCACTATAGGATTTGTGTTCGGCACCTGCGGGCCAGTGAGCCACGCCATCGGGTGACACTCGCGCCGACATTCATCACTTTTGGCGCCGCCGCGTGGGCCGTCGCCTTGGTAACGGCCAACGACGCGCGCGAAACGACCGGCCGACATGTCAGCGAGCACCTGGATATCGGAGAAGGTCGGCCGAAGGTGGCCGGCCGTCATCGATTGTCGAACAGAAACCGTTGGCGGTGGCGGCGATTAAAAGGGCCGGCCCTCGGCTGACACTTCACACGGAACAAAGAATGTGCTGACGTTGATGCATGGCGGTGGAAGAAGAGTGCTTGTTTTGGAGACAAACGTCGCACTGCCGCTAAGCTAAATTCGCCAAAATTGAGTCCAGGAAGTTTTGTGTCATTTACTTATTTGGCCCTAACTTCTTATAGCTGCCAAGTTATTGCGTTGAATTTAATTGCATTAGCCTGAGCGTTGCCAGATCAGACCTTTTCACTTCCAGGGACCCGCCTTTTTGACACGTATCTGCATTTTTATTGATGGGCTGGGTATCATCTATCCATAGATCATGAGTTATGTAGGATAGGAGCTCAATGGATCATAAATGGATGCATTCATGGAGTACGGTTAACAGCGCGGCGGTTTGATTACGCGCACGTGCTCTAAATATGACGCCGGTAATATCTTATACCAGTAAAACGCCTTTTGGGCGAAGAACGAGCGAGCGAGATAGTGAGCCCTGCAGGCTGCACGTGCAGAAGGGCGAGAGGGTACTTCCAACGGGCTTGTGCAAAGCACCCTTCTAACCGGTCGCTAGCGGTGTACCAAATTTGAACGCAATCGGCCCAGCCGTTCCTGAGATCTGGAAGCGGCACCGCCGAGGTCGCGTTCATGACCGTGCCCCTGTGCGGTCGGCCGTGCCCCCTCCCCCCCCCGCCGTTCGCCGCTGGCCCTGTATACAGTGGCCCAGCATTCATAGTGGTGGTGAGGGAGCCGCCGACATTGATTGGCTGCACCGGGCCCGCCAACGCCGCCACAACTGGCGTCACTAGCAAACAGTGACCGGGCCGGACAACTGAAAAACACGGCTCAATGGCCAATACACCCACCGGGCCGGACAACTGAACAACACGGCTCCATGGCCAATACACCCACCGGGCCGGACAAGTGGAAAACACAGCTCCATATATTGGCGGAGTGGACATGGGACAAATGAAATAAAAAACAGCCCAATGCATCAACGGAATGCAGCAGGATATGGAACTTTATAGCATCAAGCAGGATTCACACACCGATTCAACGTACTTACCTACCCGACAGTACAACACACTCGGCACGCACCACGCATTACAGCACGTCAGGACAACACAGCGCAGCTTCATTTCTTCAATCGATATTATCCATGCGGCGAACTTGATGAATCAGTTAGATGATTTGATGAAATATTGCTCGTAAAGCAATAATTTCGTACGCCGCATTTTAAATAATGCGATGCAAACAGTCTAATGTTTCAGAGTCTTATATGTAAATGTTAAAGTTTTGTCACGCTGTTTATTTTGTTTACAGTATGCAGGAGAAGCACGCCATCATCGCTCTGGATGAGAAGGCCAACAAGGTCAACATCAAGCCGTGCAACACCGACTGTCGCGTGCTGGTGAACGGGACGCCGATCCAGGGCGAGACCACGCTCTGCCACAATGACAGGTTCGTCGGGCCGCTGCCGCCACAGGCTGCTTCCGAGGCTCCGGGGATAAAGATACTTACATTTTAACGCTCACTTTATCTTCATTTGAGACGATGCGATGAAGTGTGATATTCGAGCATACAAAGAGCATCCAGCGTATGCCACTCATTTTTTTTTCTTATTCAAAGGTCATTGCTACTCGATAAAGTGCAGCTAGACGTGCAGTTGACCTGCAACGTTTACGCATTATTTATATTTATGTTCACAGACTGGTGTTCGGAGGCACTCAGATCTGGGTGTTTGCTAACCCAGTGGAGGCGAAACAGAGCAAAAAGAAGTACCCGACTATCACCTATGAGTACGCTCAGGAGGAAATCGCCTCCAAGAACGGCCTCAAGATGGACAACACAGCAAACAACGGTAAAGCAAACTATAAAATTACTGTTTGATGCGTTTTCGGTCCTGCTGCTATAGGTATGTCAGGACCGAAATCCTCTCTGCGTGCTGACCAGCACACTTTTGTCCTAAAGGAAACATCTGGTACTGTCATAACGTCCAACAGCTAAAAGAACAAAACAAGTACGTACCTTGAGTGCCCACTAAAAGCACTCCCCACACCCGCCCGCTGTTCACCACTCTCCCCACTGTCTCACACACACAGCCCAGGTGCAGCTGCAGCCGTCCGCTGTTCACCACTCTCCCCACTTTCTCTCACACACACAGCCCAGGTGCAGCTGCAGGAGGACCTGCTGGAGCTGATGCCGGGAGTCGAGACGGCCAACAGCATCTCCGAGGAGCTCGACAAGAGGTGCAAGTTCGAGATCCTGCTCGTCTCGCCACAGATGATGGGCAAAACGTCCGGGAACACCGAGGTATGTGAACGCGGCAACAGCCCGCGCCAAACGCATATCTGTAGTGCCAACACAAGTATCAGCCTTCTAAGTATATATGAACAATGGTGAGCCATACCAAGCACAAAATTATCATACGTTCTGTGATACGCTATTTATTTTGCGCAGGTCTGCGTCAAGATGAAGAACCTGGCCAACAACGCTGAGTACGTGTGGTCCAAGGAGAAGTTCCGCAACAACCTGTACCTGATGCAGGAGATGTACGCTAACTTCGAGGACGAGGACGACTGGGACCTGCCCGAGGTGAGAGACAGCAGCGAGTCCAGCTTGGCAATACCAGTCAGTACGTCACATCCTGCAGACAATACGGCATCTGCCTCAGGACTTGTTTCGTTAGGCACCCGACACGGAGGTGACAGCGTTCTGACCCCTGTCCCTCCGTCCCCCGCACAGTCCCAGGACCCGTTCCGGGAGCCCCCCGACACGGAGGTGATAGCGTTCTGACCCCTGTCCCTCCGTCCCCCGCAGTCCCAGGACCCGTTCCGGGAGCCCCCGGACACGGAGGTGATGATCGGCGTGTGCCAGGTGGTGCTGCAGCCACTCGCCTTCCAGGTGGAACTCAAGGATCAGGTGGAGATTAGCAACTACAAGGGTGCCGAAGTCGGCGTACTCAATGTGAGTCACACGGTTTTTTCAAACGGTAAACTTTTCCAGAAAATTGACATCTATTCTAGTGTTTGAGGTGCCTCCTTTTATGGCATAAAACTCGTAATATAATTTACGATCACTTATTGACATTATTCGGGCTTCCAATGCTAACTCCTTCTGACGTTACAATGATGTGATTGTACATATCCTGCAACATGTTTTGTTTGTCATCCGGAAATGTCCTATATCAAAGTCAACTCACGAATAATGTTGGTTGCGTTATGGTGACCGGTCGCCGCCGCCGCCGTCCCCAGTTGGAGGTCGTGCCCTGTGACGCCTCCGGTAAGGAGTACAAGGAGGAGGACGATCGGTTCGTCGACAGTCCCGACATGCTTATCGGAAAGGACGTCAACTTCGTGGTCAAAATCAACAGCGCCAGGGGCCTGCCCAAAAGCTACATGGTAAGAAGGACATGCGACCTTTTGATAAGGATTTATCTACAGGGTGATTTTTTTACAGGGCAAAAAGTTTTTAAGCCTAGAGATACCAAAACATATAACAAACGCCAAAAAAGTATATCCATGTGAAAGGAAATTGTTTGTCATTTTGTTTTCAGGACCTTTTAAAGACTTCTTGGGACTCATTCTGTTGTGAAGTTCCATGCAAATGGCGCACAACAAAATGTTTTCCCCAAAATCGCCAATTACTCCAGGCTTGGGTGCATTAAAACTGTGCTCACTTCGAGCACGTTCTGTAAGCCTAAACGGAGCTCAAACTCAAAGTTTGTGTGTGCAAATGAAATGTCAGAATGTGCTTTTTACAAAGATATACATTTGCTGTCAGTTGATCTGTTTTCTGGTACCGCCATTGCTCTTTACTTTTTATCCTGTATAAAAAAATCACCCTATATTTAGGCTGCAAGTTTGAACCGTTTTACCCCATTTCGTGTATAGAACACAGAAAAAATACTCTATGGTATCTTCATTCTACATGCACTTTAAATTCCCGACCTGAGCTAATTAACGTGCAAAATCTAAACATGCCAATGATAGGTATGTTTTGACCTCGAGTGTAGATCATTTACAACTGTCGTCTTCTGTGACAGGACGTCTACTGCAAGTACAAGGTGTACCTGGAAGACGACCACAAGACCAAGATGGTGAGCGACACCACCAACCCCGACTTCAACGACAAGAAGATCTTCAAATTCCCCACGGCCACCAAGCAGTTTGTCGACTACCTGCACAACAGCACGATGGCGATCCAGCTGTGGGGCAAGTACCGTCTGAGGAACCTCTCCGGGTCGATCAAGAACCTCACCACCAAGGACATCATGAAGACCGACAGAGGTGTCTTCTCCAGGTATTAATTTTACTTCTTTGCTACCACTTTTACTTAAAGGGACACTCCCACCTTAACATTAGTTTTGAGTTGAGATAGCCAAATTGGTGGCCATGGCCTGCAAATACCGGTTTGGGCACTCACAACATCGAAAAATGCTTTAATTCGAAGATATGGAATTTCAAACTTGCAGTTTTCGGATTCTAAGGGGCTAATGCATTGGAATGCCCCCTTAGAATTTGTGACGTCAGCGGAGATCTAACGATTTTTAAATCTTAGACTAAAACCATCGTTAACACGTGGTGGTATACGCTGCTTTGCGCGCAACGTCTGCCGCACTTTAAGGCTGCCAAATTATTGCTTCCAAATAAAGTCGCTAGTAACAGGGGAGATCCCAAAAAGTAAACAAAAGTAAAAGCCTAATATCTTGAAAACTGTAGCGAGGTAAATTAAGAGAAGAAGGGGGTACTGCTTCCTTGCGGTTGACCCAGCACCGCGGTCCACTGTTGTTCGGCTGTTGTAGCAGAGAGAATAATTCGCTGCTGTAATGCTGTCGATAGTAGAGCTGGTGATACAGAGGAGCTTGGGAGTCGTTGAAGAGATCCCGAGATAGCTCTAGAGAGAGATCCAGATAGTGATGAGATCCTGAGATAGATGTAGATTTCCAGATAGAGATCTCGAGATGACGTCCACCTGGGAGAGATGTAGGTATAGATCCACCTTGCATACAAATACATCTGATGGAAGATGCTTCTGTTTTAGAGGCTTGATGATTCTGTTCATTGTATAGACCATGATGCACGAGATGCTTCTTCACTGCTCGGATTAGGGATAGAGGGATCCGATCAGCTGGGTTTGCGGCACAGTTGGGCAGGTGAAGGACAGGGCATTCGAAGTCCCGATGACCACTGCCAAACTTACGGGTGGTAATTACATTGATTAATTGAATGTGATCATTCGTCCAGTCACCCATTCCTATACCACTGGCCTCCCCATTACGAAAATTGCCCACTTAATTCGTATTAGCGTTGCTATAGTTAAGTTGCCCTCGAGGGTTGCTAGCTCGACTGCCGTAACCGAATTCTACGCAATTCCTATCGGCCTTATTCTAAGATTCACCCTTCACCATTCTCACACCCTTGTTCGCGTTACATTCACCTTTCATGTATTCACCCAAATTTAATTCGTAGCCCTCGAAATTCCCTCCGATAGTGTTAGGCGTCGGATCAACAACGATCTCCCCGGCGAGATAAATGTCTCTTTCCGAAATCCATATGCATGCTCCGCTAACCGGCGACAAAGATATTTATCGCAGGGCCGTCCAGAATAATTGCACAAATATCCACCCTACTAATTTATGGGATTCACTACACGTCCGATAGACTTATGGTACACACATACACGATTTATATCCGACTTATCTCTCTACCGGGAGAGATTACCTATGCCCTCTTCCGGTCCGCGTGTAACATTCCCGTTCACGACCCAGGGACCACAGTTCATATCCTGGAACTATCCTTAAACCATGGGATTTACTCTTCAAGGCCTTACGTGTCCTGGAGTACATTCTTCCCTCCCCTGAGGCTGTCCAGTACCGATTAGAGTACCTTTACGAAATAAGTATGAGGACTTATTCGGGACACTACGGCTCGCTTTATCCGCCCTTTGGGTGACTCACCCCTGACCTTCGGCTTCTTGCCTTTGGCATAACTTACTCTCCACTGCATACTGTGCCAATCTTCCCCCTTCCCCCTGCCGTAGAAACCTCTCACTGCCTTCTCACCCAGTGTTACCTAAGCGGGAAAATTAACAGTGGCCGGTACCACTGGCGGAAAACGTGCATATGCCCTGCGTACGTGACGGTGTGTCCCTCTTATTATTCCGGTCTGGACGTGGGTTTAGAGAAGTGCATCTGTGTCTCATACGGTCATGCTGGTAAACGTTACGCCATAGGAGGCGGGCAAACAAGCCGTCTGTGCCTCACAATGCCCTGTGCCAATATTGGTGGAGTAATTATTGGCGCTAACTCGCAAGAACGCGAATAACAGAAAAGCATTATTTATTCAACCTAATCGTAATCTCAAGTCCTAATTGCTGCTGCACGCATGAACCTAATCACTAGTTCTCGTATACACTCCTAGCAGACCTTGAACCGCTCTTGATTTAATCAGATGATCTAGAACCAATTAGTACGCACCTATCTGTCGTCTGGTTGTGATCCACCGTATCATAGTGAATTACTGAATGCTCAACGGAAATGACTCCTTGAAACTCGTTCGATAGCTTCTGATGGGCTACTAGTTACCTATACAAATTATCTTTATAGAGTGCCAGAATATTGTCATAGGGGTCCCTAGCTTTTCATAGAAAATATAATTTAAATCATCCTATTAGCAGTAAACAATGCACATGAAACGAAGTGCAGTCCTAAATATCATATAGCATGTCATATTTAACTGTCTACGTTCTTATCCCGTTGCAACCTTCCGCAACTAACCAGGCTCCTATACGTGACCTTCACCTACCGCACGCGCCCCAATTACGGCTAACCCACTGCCCCTGTTGTGGCTGCTCCTCGCGCCCTCTGGCGGCTCAACCCCGCGTCGGGAACGACGATTACCACGGCCGCCGGCGGGCGCCGCGTCGACACCGTCAGTCAGCCACGCCGCTATGGGCGCGCCAACAGTCGCGGTACAGTGCTCGTGCGTGTTGTCTCTTCTGGCCGGGTAGATTCACCGGATGTGTCAGTGAGTGTGAATCTGGTAAAATATCGCTGCAATATCTCCCTGTTCGATATCTAATCAGCTCCATTCCACGTAAGTTTTTTTTTTAATTAAATTCCTGTCCCATTTAATCTTTCCCAACAAAGATAGTCTTTTCTAGTATTTATTCTACAAAAGCACAACGATCGGTACCTATATTAGTCGCATATTAGTTCTAACCACAAACAATTCTACATCTACCTCTTACTCGACATTTCGCAATTTCAATGACGCAAAGTACAAGGACCATCTAAAGTCGCAAAGTGTCAAAACCGTCGACCTCAAACCACTACTCTCAACTCTGCACCTATGTAACAGAAGAAATTCCGCCGTAAGCTCAAGCATTCGTATCTGTCGAAAATCATAACTCATAGCCATATTCATAGATCGATTGCATGAATCAGTCGTCACCTTAAAACATTACATTCCTTTTCAACCGTATTTACCTGTTCTATAACTGATTTCGACTTCGCAATTAATTCCTACAGCAATATTACCAATGATTTCGCAATGCAAATTTTAGTGAGTACAGCACGAATCTAAACCCTTAATTTCACAAACTTCCAACCTCAAATCTTAATCGCACCTGACTACCGCCGATAATAAATCGAACGAACCAGCTTGGCCAAACACAAAGACATATTCGTTATTCAATGCTGACACGCATCATGTCATCAATCTCAACGTTCGTGACAATGAGCTGCTTATTCAAATTTTAGGATTTCGCTCACGGCCTAATCGTGAATTCCAACGGACGATAACGAGTTGCTGGCGACCCTGACATGACCTCGAAATTCAGATCCTAATATGCTACTAGGGTGTCTGGACCAATAAGTTCAAAGTAATTTAAGTTTTCCAATTCCAATTGAGAGTGCATTTTATGGCAACCGAAAATGTTTGGCAGTCGTCACGGCACGGCAGGCTGGGCAGAGGGGGGGGGTCAAGGATTGGGATTGAGCAGACTTTTCAACAACACTCACATTCTGGAGTTCCTCTGTGCTTCCGCTTCCGGTGTGGTCACAAGCGTCGGCTGCTGTCCTCGGTTCTGGTCGATCGAACTGAAGAGGCTTTTCGTGGGTGACCCCGGACTGACGGCGGCCTCCAGATGTCGTCTCCGGCTCCGGCTGCAGACTGTGACTCTCGGCTGCTCGACTTTGACTCTCGGCTGCCCGACTGTGACTCTCCTGGTTGGGTGGCGCATCCTTTTATAGTTGGGGGGAGGGGGTGACTGCCACGCCCTTGCGCCGTCATCTTCCTCTGCCTTCCTCTGGTGGGTGGGTCCGTAAGATGGCGCCCTCTATCCTGTTTAGTCACCTTACTCCTCTGTGCCTGCAATTTTTGGCCGTCGAATTGTCTTCGTGTTGAGTGCTTTATCATCTTAGTAGTCGCTGGCATAAAACAATCCCTGAGATGTTTGTTATCTTCGAGTTTTAATTTTGATTTTTCAATTTAATTTTATTCAAACTTTTGTTTCCTTCCGTTTCGTCTGCCGCCAACGCCCCTGTGACGTCACTCTTGCTCCGCCCACCGTGCCGGGGCGTGGCCGTAACGCAGCGCCTTCTTCCTCTGCGGAGATCTCTGGAACTACCTCATGAGGCCATTGTGAGGTCGGTCACCCGGCTGTTTTGCCAGGTTCACTCACCCTGGGTTGCTGTGCCCGACAAAGGAAGCTGTGTGCTCCAGCCGGCATCCATCCTTGACACTGCTCCATGATCTGTTGACATATCTTACTGATCCAGCGTTATTTGAGGAGGCTCGGATCGCTCATCCTGCGGTAGCTGTCTCCATAGGCGAGCGTCGTAATGAGAGTTTAACGGCTGCCCATTGCGAAGACCTCTGGAACTACAGCGTTTTTGCTTGCCGTAGGATCTTCTGGTTGTGCCATTCCCACCGTGGGACTCAGCGCGGCGCAGCTGTTGTGGTACCTGACAGAGTACGTGACAAGTGACAGAGTACCTTAACGTGCTCGCTCGCCGCCGCCGCCGGCCGCAGTTCTGACGTAGCTTGTTGACTCAGCTGTGCCTCGGCGGTTCGTACTGATGTGGCCGGCATCGTCTTCTCGCAGATGTGTCTACTGCGGGCTATTCTCACGGACAGTGCTCGTTGAGGGAGTTGGGGAAAAGTGCTGAATGGGGATGGCGGGCCTGGTGACGGGGGGGGGGGGGTAGTGAATAATGAGAGGGGAGGAGAGCGCAGCAGCAGCGCTCCGCTCAGCTGTGCGTCACCCGGTAGCAGCGACGGGTGTGTGAATGGAGGGCT